GACTGAGATTGACAATTCAGTGAAGTGAATTCTTTGAAACCAAAACTTAAAAAATGCTCAATCAAAATCATACGAAAGAATGTGAAATCGCAGATAAGGAATTCATTGGATTTGTATAACATATACAGTCATCTAAGAAAAGCTTGCCACAAATTCCCCACCAATTTGCTCGAGTTTTGCGGGCAATTTGGGGTAAGTTTTTCTTAAATGAGATGTATTAAGTTTTAAAAAGATAATTAAATTTCAAAAGCTTGTGTTGATCAAGTTTCAAGTTTAAAAATAAACCGATTGTGTATCACCAAGAAAGATAAGCAGTCTTTTTTAATGTAACGGAAGCGCAGTTGTGAATTTTGATTTTCCATGAGTTTGTTTGATTCGGTGAATTGGGTGTTTGAGTTGATTTCCCCTCAATTTGAACTTTTCAATTTTTTAATCTGATTGTGTAAAATCCAGCTGATCATCAACTTGGATTTGATTGTACTTTGATCTTTCAGCCATTCTAGCAATTCTCACTTGAGCACACTCACCTTAATACTCCACACTCTGACTCCACATAAACATATCCGATCTCGATCAATACAGACATCAACTTGTTGTACACAAGCTTTCTCAGCAAGTTTGTGTTGAAAACATTTCAAACTCTCCACAACTGTCAATTGAATTTGAATCACAGTACACAGTGACAGTTGACAGCACAATTCATCACATCAGCACATCAACTTTCAGACAACATTCATTCCAATTTCACACACACACACACACACCCTGAACAGTGAACCCCACACCCAAACACAATACACACCCCACAAAAGGAAAAGTAAATCATCGGAACAGAAAAAAGAAATCAAAAATAACCAAACTACTCTCATTACCATTCTGATTACCATTCTGATTACCAATTCATCAATTCAAACAAAGTAACATGCAACCTCATTCAATCTCAACTTCAACTTCATTTCATCATCAACATCATCAACATCCATCTTCATCCAATCTATCAAATCAAGAATCGATTATCAATCAAACTTCAAATGATGATATCTATAACATTGATAAATCTAAAATACCAAGGTAACTCATCATTCATCATCTTCATCATCACTTATTGATTCTTACTGATCTGATCTTATTCTTTCATCTCATCTCAAACTATATACAGACCATATAAATGTCCAATCTGTGATCGAGCATTCTATAGATTAGAACATCAAACTCGTCATATTCGAACTCATACTGGAGAAAAACCTCATCATTGTACTCATCTAGGTTGTGATAAAAGGTTCTCTAGATCTGATGAACTTACTCGTCATGCTAGAATTCATACTCATCCAACTCAACGTAAAAAGAACAAATCAGTTCAACAACAACAGCAACAGCGTCATCACCATCATCATCATCATCAGCCACAGCCACTACCACTACCACTACCACTACCACATCATCATCAGCAACAGCAGCAGCAGCATCATCATCAACAACAGCAGCAGCATCAACAACAGCTCGAAATCGATCAACATCATTCATTGGTTAGTCTTCCTTTGATGATGTTCATTTTGATTGATTAACTAATCGGCTTCTCTTCTATAGCTTGAATCCAATCTTTCGAGATCATCCTCATTGAATCTGAATATGAACTCTCAAGTAAGTTTGAATTTTTCAAGTGATCATTCTCAACCTATCTGACATTGATGATCACTGACAAATCTTACGATTCCACTCCATTAGCCTATTCACTCTTCATATGCTCAATCTATTCAAAATCCTACCACTTCATATGATACGACAGGCAATCATCATCATCAATCAAGGATTTCGAATCATCCACACTCTAATCTGACTTCTTTAACTGCAACCTTTCATCATCTCAATCAACATGATCCATACCATCCAAATCATCTCATCAATCCTCAACCATCTCAAGAACCATTGTCACATTCCTCTTCTCATCTCAATCAAAACATCCCATCATTTCATCATCATTTACCTCATCAAGTTCAACATTCGGATTACTTAGATCAACGATCACATTCGAATCGAATCAATCCTTTGGAATCTCAACTTAATCCTAGCACTCCGATTAACTCTCATTCTCAGTTCAATCTCAACTCATCTCATCATTCTCAAATGAATTCAATCTCACCTAATCACACCCAACTGAATCCTATTCTACCTATCAACTCTCAACTGAATCCTATCTCACCTATCCACACTCAATCAAATTCAAATTCACCTCACCATTCTCAATTAAATCCCATCTCATCTCATCATTCACAATTGAATCCGATCCCACCTATCAACTCTTCAAATCCACCTCATCATTCATATCATCTAAGTCGATCGGCTCCTTCTCATCTACATTATCCACATCCAAACTCACACCCAGAACAACTTGGATTCTCACATCTTGATCCAACAACAGATCAAAGTGCGATGAAATCACATCATCCATTACCGAGTCCAGCCGATTTTGTTCGAAACAGTCCACATCCTTCTTCCCAAACCGAACCGAACCATTTTTATGGAACCCATCAATCAGGTGTAGCCTTTGAAGCCTTAGAAGAACAAAGAAGAGTAGAAGAAGAGAGTGATTTTTATTTACCTAGATCAAGAAGAGGTTCAAGTTATCAATCCCATTCGGTTAAACCTAATTTAAATCATTCACATGATGATTTGATTCGACATTCACATGAAGTTTCGAATTCGAATTCCAATCCACATCCACATCATCGTAAACATCGACATGCCTATCAACCTTATTCACATCCATCTAGTACGACCGTCTCAGTTTTGAATTCACCTATTTCGAGTCATGATGAATTAAGTGATGATGAAAGATCTTCTTCACATTTACCGTTCGGTCCTTTTCATCAGTTCACTCCATCTGATAGTCCTGTTTTAGGTCCGATGAGTAAGTTAAGTTTAATGAAAGGTAGAAGTACACAAGCTACGAGTGTGGTGCCTTCTACGGTGCCTTCACCTCATCCTTCGACGTCTAGAGCTACTAGTCCGATCAATTTACCACCACTTAGGTTAGGACAAGCTATGATAAGTTTAAGCTCATCTGCTTCTGCTTCTGTGGCTTCTTCTTCGATTGGGATGAGGTCTAAGATGGATGTCGAGATGGAAGAAAGTGAAGATCGATCGATGAGGGTTTCTAGAACTCCATCTAGGATTCAATCTTCATCTTCTTTATCAAATTTGATTCATCAAGAAGAAAGTTTGAATCCAAGTTATTATCAAAAAGGTAGATTAAAAGATATCTTGAATGATGATTCACCGGTTAGGGTTTTAGTGGGATCTGGATCTGGGTGTGGGAATCATCATCGATTTACATTACCACCTCTTTCGAATATTACGACTAGATTAGATGAAGTTAGGAATGATCAAGAAGAAGAGGGAGAAGAAGGGAAAAAGAAGGTCAAGGGAAAGAAGTGTATTCAAAGGAATGAAAATGAATTGTATAAGTCTAGATCGGCACCTACTTCTAGAATGAATTCACCACCTGATTCACCAATTCAAAGGAATGTGAAACGGTATCAAATCACCGAAGAAGAGATCATGGAACATCGAACGTTGATTAAGAAGAGTAAGAAACGGAATTCTAGAAGAAAGAATCAGTTTGGATTACAGATGACACCGATTGAGATTGAAAAGAATGAAGAGATTGAAGGCTTGAAGTTGGGCTTGGGCTTCGAAGGGGCGATCAGTTGTAGGAAGAAAGGAGTCGAGAATGATGAAGATGTGAATCTGGATGGAATGGCTTTGGGATCTTCTTTACCGAAAGATGAGGAAGAGGAAGATGAGGAGGATGAGGATGAGCAGGAAGAAGGGGTGAGAGAACAGAAGAGGAGGAGTAGGGATAGTTTTAGTAGTATTAGTAGTCATGAAAGTCTTCGAATCAAATTTGGAAAACTTTTGGGTTGAGGTTTATGATTTATTTTGGAAACTGATTTGGATTGGTTTTGGGATTTGGGATTGGGATTGGGATTGGATTAGAAGATGATGGTTTTTTTTTTGTTGATGATCATTGTTATAAAAAAGATGTGTAAAAGAAAAAGTCACAAAGAAAGTGAAAGTGAAAGTGTTTTTTGGGGTCAAGGGTTTCATTTTTTGGAAAAAAAGTTTGATACAGATTATTGAAACTGATCAATCAACTTTGAAGCTTTTATGAATTTGTATTTATGTATATTGATGATGATGATGATGAGTTTTTTTTTCGGGGGTGGGTTTGGGTTTTGCAAAAATTTATATATATACTTATTTTGGGAAGGGTAGTTTTTTTATTTATGATTGTTTCATATTGTAAATATATGTATACATATTATTTTTTTTTGGAGAGAGAGAAGGGAGAGAGAGGGAGACAGAATGGTACTGTGGATATACATAAATGTGATTAACTTAGTGGATTTTTGTTTGTTTAAATTTTTTTGGGAAAAATGGAATGAATTATTTAGGGTTTTTGAGGTTTGTTTTTTTTTGGGGGGGGATTGGAATGAGGGAGAAGGAGAAGGTATAGATGGTCATAAAAGAAGTTTTCAAATTATATGTTCTGTTTAAAGAAATTTAAAGTCTTGTGGTACACTTTCCATGTAAGTAATGTAAACTCAGGTTGGTTAAAGTTTTTACTTTGGGTTTGGGTTTGTTTAAAATAATAGATTCATGGGTTTGGAAAATCTGTAGTGTATAGAGAAGTGTTATGTACACAAATGAAATGATTTTAGGTAAAGATTTGAGGTTTGAAAAAAATGGGAAAAGTTGAGAATTGGTTGAGCTATGAAGGGTTTAATTTAATGGTTCATGTTTGGGAAAATCAAGACTTTGATCAACTGATCAAAACATTAAGGGGAAATGTCTTTGTCTTTTAACCACAAATGGTATCTTTTGGGTTTGTCTTTCCATTCTACTAAATCTATCAATTAACCAGTTTCTTGATGATGATATAGTGTCCCTGATTCAGATTATCAAGCAAGGAGCACCTTTCATTGCAAATCTTAAGTCATTGTGAAAGAAGGTTGTTGTGAGTTGTAATTTGATAAAATTGTTTGCACCTAAAGTTCTCACTGATGAATTTTGCAATCAACCAGAATTTTTCTTTGTCATCCAATCATAAAATCTTCACCTCACCTCACTTTTCTCACCAAGATTCTTATCTTGACTGTATTTTTACAACATCTTCTGATGAAAGCAATAGCTTGACTGATGATGCACAAAAGGAGCCAAAACATTGTCTGACTGCAACCCCTTGGAAGATTTGGGATCACTTTATTGGAATATCTGATTGCACCTCAGTCACTTGATCCATTACCAGATTCTATACAAGAATGGTTATGAGCTAGCATGTGAAGCTGATTCTTTGCAATACATGATCTTTTGAGTGGTGAAGGAAAACACAGTCCAAGAGTCACAAAATCCAGTGACCCAAGACAATGAACCATGAGAATTCAGGACAATGTGGGGAAATTATCCAAGGATATTTTTGAAAAAAGATTGAAAAGGATCTCCTATAGGCTAGATTACACTGAGTCAAATACACACACTATATTACTTGTTTGGGATGATGAAGAGTAGTAGTGTAGTTGTGATGGTTACAGTGAGGATTGTTTGTTGGGTGATAATGTTGAATTCTAGTCAATTATAAAATTGATTGATTGCAACTCTGGGTGCACACAATTTTGTCAAAGTACAAGTCCCAACAACCTCAGTGCACAGTGCATAGCATCTGTGTCACACAGGCAGTTTGTACTTTATCCAAGTATACTGTAAGACTGTTTAGCTGGATATCATCCATGTCTACACTAAATTATACTATACTTAAGACTTGAATCTTTAATATCTCAAATCTTTGTAAATATCCCATTAAATTTGATATTATTTTTTGTAATAAGTTTCTCCACTTTTTTGTCTTTTTCAGCCTTCCTGTACACAACATATTTATATATGTACATGTGGATTGTACATGAGTAGTCATATTGTTCCTTGATTAATTGATTCTAGGAAGAATATGGAGAAATGTATGGCAGAAACTTTTGGGAAACACCATTTCACTGTAAACATCATTCAGTTTGCCCAAGTGGGATGTGGGAAATCATTAACTTGCAATGAAAGGATCCATCATTGCACACCTGAGCCATAAGACACCCACTACATATGTGAAACAGGATTAGTTAATAGTTGCCTATCATGTACATACAGGTCTGATCAGCTGTCTGCCCATCTGACTAAATACAGCTGTTGTGAGAACTATTGGTGACTTTCAAGGTGTTGATTATTGCTTCACAGGCCTAAACCTTGTTTTGGTGCATTCAATATGCTTTAATCTCACAGTATGCATGCTCAAAAAGGAGTTTTTTGAGTATTTGTCAGTTTTGGATTAAGTCTTCACACAACAGAAGAGATAAAAAAGGCACCATTAGTTCTCACAACAGCTGTAAATCAGATGTGATATGTCATGTAACTTTTTTGCCAATGTGAAAATTTGCCCAACAATCCACTACAGATATCATCATGGCCACTCAGGCAACATTCTTGTAGCCGTTTATCAGTAACAGGAAGGGTGTTACATAAAGTTTAGTTGACAAAATTACACCAAATATTTGAGTCAGTTTATGCAGTCAATTTTTGGAATGATTTTGTCAAGCTGAAGAAAAGTTACAGCATGTATCACATATGATTCACGCATCCAGATGAGGACATGATTGAGCAAAACATGTATGTACATGGTAGCCATCAATTCACTCAGCCTGCTGCACTTATGTAGTGTGGGTGTCTGTGAGGAGTCAGCAACTGTTGGCTGTGAGGAATCAGCAACTGTTGGCTGACTCTTCACTAGAAAAGGGTGAAGAGTAGTAAGATAGTAAGTCTTGGCTTGGTACACCCAAGCAAAGACTACAGTTAACTGACCTCTGATAAGAGAATTTGTTGCCAGTGGGATGGCTGAGTAATCCTTCTGAGGATATTACTCTGAGCTTGGGTTGATCTTACAACTAACCAGCCTGCAGTACTTTAGACTCTCCAATGAGGTGGCCTTTTGAAGTTTGAAGCTTGTTCTGTTAGCTGATGAACCCACAAGCTCAGAACACCACTTGAGGTTTTACAAATACCTAGATGAGAAGTAGAACTTGGATAATCAGGAAAAACAACACAATCACTATACTCAATATTCTTGTAAAGAATTAAGTAAGACGTGATGAATAGTTGTGTAATAATATGAAGTTGCTCCTTCTTCCAAAGTGGGAAGAGGAGGGGTATATATATTCCAAGACTTAGGCTTCAACTTGTGGTTGGATCTTAGGTTTGTCTTTCTTTAAGTTAGGTTTGGGTTAGGTTTGATTTACTATTCAAGTCTTAGTTAAGTCTTGTTATCTAAGTGACTCTTGATACTGAGTCATGAGGTGTAATTCCTATGGTTTTAAACCAGTTATGTATATTTACATGTGTGTTTGTTGGTCCGTGGTCCTGCACACAGGGCTCAGGGCTGACAGTCAACAGGTTCAGAAACCAATCAATGTTGACCAAAAACCTCTAAGGACCCTCTGATGATGTATTGTAATGAATTTGTTACTGATAGATGATGTGATTTTACACAGCCAAAAGTAATCAATGATGTAACCAGATGCTACACAGTACTTCTTATGCTGACTAAGGGTGGTTTTTTCCTTGTAATCTGGCTGAAAGCCTATTTTTGAAGTTATGGTTTTTTGGAATGATGTCAAATTTTTGATTACTAAAGTGAATCTTATAGATCTCGTGATGCTGATTAATAATTGGCCCCATATCATATACTTATGATGAGTGATGGATGAGTTATTGAGTTGTGAAGTTAAGGTTTTTGTGTAAATGTTGTTACATGTATGCATGTAAGTGGCAAATCCAAAGTTCACTCCAATTTCTTATTCCCCTTATAACTTTCTCCACACACCTCTGTTACTAGTGGTTTAAATTGATTAACACAGGAAACAAGGGACAATTTTCCCGCGGGAAAACCAATTGTATCTGACTCAGTTAATGAGCCAAAATGTATTATTTTGGTGTTATATCTGTGTTATTTGTACACTATGGCTCAGAAACTACATTATGTGTAATCGGTCTTCCCGCGGGAAAATTGTCTCTTGTTTCCTGTGTAGATTATGTAATTAGATGCTTTTGCGTTGAATGAACTATCTACCATCCCATTCTGATGTCATTTGACATGTGTAATAAGACAAAAACCTCTATTTTTGACAAAATTCACACCTTTGCACCCCTTTACACAGCCATTACCAATACTCTATTGCTCCTGCAATGTTACATCATCATCTGTAACTGTAAAAATCCTGGAAAATCCTCTTGGAAACCTTAAATGTTATTAATACCACCATTACATATGTAAACTATCTGTAAACCCTTGTTTACCAACTTTGAAAAAGTACTGATTTCTTAATAAATTCTATTTCTCCTTATCACCCATCAAGATTAAAGGTTTTACTGAATAAAATAATGCTTCTATTTCATATTATAACCTCACAAAACTCATCAACCCAATTATACCACCCAAAAACCATTTCCCAGTCTGTATACCTATATTTTCCCGTTTTTCTTATGTTTTTTCTTTCTTTTCTTTTTGGAATCCATCTGTTGATAGTTGATGCTGATGTTCATAAGTTGTTTAAAATAAGATGAAGTAATCATGATTCAATGTGCAATATCTTAAAGAGCTTCTATTGATCAGATTCCACCTCCTTGAGTTATCCTTTGCACTGAAACCTTTCCAATAACTTTGGTAAACTGTGTCGGAATAAATTCATATTACATGTTTTGTTTTATTTCTTTTCTTATTAATCCAATTAATTATGTTAACACTTAACCAACATGTAAACTGTTACTCAAAACCTTTTGCACCAAACTTGAACCTAACCATGATTTGTATCACACAATCTAGTATTCCA